AAAAAAAAAAAAAAAAATAGACTATCTCTGCTATATATCCTAATGCAATTACTTCTGTAGCTCCAGTAAAACTCCTTCTTATGCTTGACAATGAAATGCAAAATTGTAATTAAGTTTATTAATTTTCATCGGTCTTGCAAAAGTTATATGACCTTCATTTTCTAAATTGTTTAAAATAAATTATTCCAGCTAAGCTTAAACTTTTAGTTTCATAGTATTTTCCTTTATTCCTTGGATTTAAAAAAGTAAAAATGGGCTAGGCGTGGTGGCCCAAGCCTGTAATCTCAGCACTTTGGGAGGCTGAGGCGGCAGATCACCTGAGGTTGGGAGTTCAAGATCAGCCTGACCAACACGGAGAAACCCCATCTCTACTAAAAATATAAAATTAGCTGGACACAGTGGCATATATATGCCTGTAATCCCAACTACTAGGGAGGCTGAGGCAGGAGAATCGCTTAAATCTGGGAGGCGGAGGTTGTGGTGAGCTGAGATCACGCCACTGCACTCCAGCCTGGGCAACAAGAGTAAAACTCCGTCTCAAAAAAAAAAAAAAGTAAAAATTGTAAGAAAGAACTGAAGATTTATATGTCTATGATATTGATTCACTACACAAGAATTTGCATTTTACTTTCTACTTTCATAAAGAAATTGCTTAAGTCGATGATAAAACTATTTGAGTACAAGCTTTGGCTTAACAAGGAATCTCTGAAATCAGAGATAGCACAGGACTGACTACTGTGCTGGAGTCTTCTCAATGAATCTTTTCAAAGCTGCCTGTTGTGATACTAATGAGCTCACTGTTTTGTGCTGTTTTCCCTCCACAAGGAAAGACTTGCTTTATCATCTGTGAGCTAATTCCTGCTGTACTTTTTTCAGGAAGCAATATCCACTGTTGTTCTATCCACTGTTGCTCTATACATCTTTTTCAGTCTCCTTTACGGATTATATATATTTTCAATTCTTTTATTAAGTTTCACCGCCTTTCTCTCAAAGATGCTCAGCAACCAGCTAACTTCTTTTGACCCCAGAGTTAGCTCAACACAGGACAAGTGGCCAAATCAAAACAATCCAGAGGCATATGACTTAAGAAAGAAAGATTGCAGAAAGAATTGCATAAAAAGAATTCGCTGGCTTCCAGTGTTTGGGGCTTATTTCCAAAATGTTTCCAAAGAAGCAGGTTTGAATTTTTCCATTTTCTGGGAATGTCTTATAGGCCTAAACTTAGTAATATTTGAAAAACATCACTTTTTTTAAAGAAATATCTACCCCAACAACTAACACCTATATAGCATTTACTATATGTCCAGGACTGCTCTGAGCAGCTAACTGCTCTGCTTAAAGTGCCATAATATTCCTTAACAATCAAAGAAAAAAAGTCCTATTATCCTGTAAGCATAAAAATCCAGTATTTTAGCTCTCCTCTCGCTGCCCAAAATGCAGAAAGGAAAGAAGGCCAAGGGGAAGAAGGTAGCTCCGGCCCCTGCTGTCGTGAAGAAGCAGGAGGCCAAGAAAGTTATGAATCCCATTTGAGAAAACGCCTAAGAATTTTGGCATTGGACCGGACATCCAGCCCAAAAGAGACCTCACCCGCTTTGTGAAGTGGCCCCGCTATGTCAGGTTGCAGTGGAAGAGAGTTATCTTCTATAAGCGGCTGAAAGTGCCTCCTGCAATTAACCAGTTCACCCAGGCACTGGACTGTCAAACAGCTACTCAGTTACTTAACCTGGCCCACAAGTACAGACCAGAGACAAAGCAAAAACAGAAGTAGAGGCTGTTGGCCCAGGCTGAGAAGAAAGCTGCTGGCAAAGGGGACGTCCCCACTAAGAGACCACCTGTCCTTCAAGCAGGAGTTAATACTGTCACCACCTTGGTGGAGAACAAGAAAGCTCAGCTGGTGGTAATTGCACATGACGTGGATCCCATCGAGCTGGCTGTATTCTTGCCTGCCCTGCGTCATAAAATCGGGGTCCCTCACTGCATTATTAAGGGGTTGAGCAAGACTGGGACGTCAAGTCCATAGGAAGACCTGCACCACTGTCGCCTTCACACAGGTTAACTCGGAAGACAAAGGCGCTTTGGCTAAGCTGGTGGAAGCTATCAGGACCAATTACAACGATAGATACGAGGAGATCCGCTGTCACTGGGGAGGCAATGTCCTGGGTCCCAAGTCTGTGGCTCGCATCGCCAAGCTTGAAAAGGCAAAGGCTAAAGAACTTGCCACTAAACTGGGTTAAATGTACACTGTTGAGTTTTCTGTAAATAAAAATTATTAATACAAATTTTCTTTCAAAAAAAATCCAGTATTTTAGTTTTGAAACATTTAGAATTTTAAAAAGCAGGGTATTAAATTTAATTTTCACTTTTTTTTTTTGAGATGGAGTTTCACTCTTGGTGCCCAGACTGGAGTGCAATGGCACAATCTTGGCTCACCACAACCTCCGCCTCCCATGCTCAAACAATTCTCCTGCCTGAGCCACCGGGATAGCTGGGATTACAGGCATCCACCACCATATCTGGCTAACTTTGTATTTTTAGTAGAGACGTGGTTTCTACATGTTGGTCATGTTGGTCTTAAATGCCTGACCTCAGGCTCCCAAAATGCTGCGATTACAGGCATGAGCCACCACGCCCAGCCAATATTCACCTTTAAAGTTTACATACATATAATTCTGGGACTGTTTTTTGCCATACACACACACACGCACACACACACTTTTCTCTGAAAGTAACATAAACTGTTTTTGTTTGTAGCTTGGTTTGCAATTAACACCCCTCAAGCAACAGTTCAAAGAAAAAGCAAAAACACAACAAGCAAGAACATTTTTATTTCCTTATGCTAATATCTGACAGGAATAAAATGCTCTCTGTTTCTCGGATAACTAAGCTTTACCCATATTTTGCCTGACAATTTGTAAGATGTTTCATTGATGATAAGGCAGATGGGTGTGGACAGACATTTGGCTAATACAGTCATAACAGTAGGATCTGAAACTTCAGGCAGGTTACTTTACTGTTGTTGATAATTTCAAATTTCTTGAATAGCAGGAAGGTGCTTGGAAAAAGCCAGTAGTCCTCTGTGTAACATTGGGCAAGTCGCTTCCTTTTTCAGAAACCCAAGTTTGTTTGTTTCTTTTCATTTGAAAAGTGTAGGAATGTAAACATAATGATTTCTTCTGATTCTAAAATGTATATTCTAACCTGAAATGTCCTCATGAATGTTGTTTTTTTAAAGCCCTGGTGTTGCCAAAATTATTGTGCATGGTCTTTACTTTTGAAGAATATACTAAGGTAATCACACCTCCTCCCTTAAAAGCCAAATAGCTGTGTAGAAATTACATTTCAAAATCTACAAAATTAACAATTTCCCCAAGATAATTTTCAAAGACACTTTCATAATTTTGTCCTTAATAATAATGACACACTGCAAATCCTAATGATTTAGGTCTGTTCTTTCTAGTAGATTAAAAAATTCTGAGCAATAAATTTTTATCAAAAACAGCCAATCATAGTTAACTGCTGCTCTGAACTACTTTAAATTCACAATTAAACATGCAGTTAAAAGCGGGGCAAGTGATACATCAGAAAACATGCAAGTGCTCAAATTGCAAACAAACTGCAACTTACTATTGAACACAGAATTCAAAACAAAAGGTTTTGGCCATAACTGGAGACAAAAAAAATGGTGGGAGGAAATCAGTATTTCAAAAGAAAATGGCAATAACTATATCATAATTATGATACAAGTATGCTTTTTTTTTTT